AACCATAGCAGTAAGTTGAGTTCCAGGCCTGAAGAATGACAAAGGGGTCTTGGATGGCTCCCACCAGTCTCTGTCCAAACATTTATGTCTGGTCTTGCTTGTCATTGATGGGTTTTATTTGACATTTTCCTCCCACTTTATCTAGGACCTTCAAATGTGATTCCTTTCAGAGCTGCGATAGTGGTAGCCAGGCACCATCACGTTCTCAGGGGCAAAGAGGCTGGAGCTCACATGGTCCATTAATGCTTTGGACTAAGGACAAGGTTTTTTTTAAAAAAACTTTTATTGTAAATTGGATGTAGGTTTACGGACAAGATCAACAGTTTTACATTCAACCATGCCTGCGTATTTTGTCTCCATTCATTCTAGTCAGTATATATTTTAAATAGTAATAACTACATCTTCCTCAAGATGAACTTAATAATTGAATTTGTTAGAAGGCCAGCAGGATGTCTGAGAGCACCCCCCCCAGAAATGACCGACTCATTTTTATTGTACCTGAATCTGGGACTTGATTACTTGTAGCTTCTTATCAGAGATATTGAAGTGATTTCTTTTGTTTGTTTGTTTGAAACCAACTTTATGTCACAAGAGAATCCAAGTCCTTTTCAGTTAGACTTCTCCTCCTTTTAGAGCCACTCAGACCAATGTTTAGATCAGAGAGGTAAGAGGGCTGAGACCCTTCTTTCTCTCTCTCGGTCTCTCTCTCAATTTTAACGATGTATTGGCTTGCTTATATATATTTGTTTGTTGGTGTGTATGTATATGTTTTTGCCCCCTTCACTTTGTTTGTGGCATACAGTACATGAACGAAAAGCATCCTATGTAGTTGCACAGCCCTGCCATCAAATCAGTGATAATGTGTCCTCCAACTCTCTCCCGCCTTACTTTCCTCCTCCCTTCCCTCTGCGCTTCCCCACTCCCCAAGCCTTGGTATTGTTTTTTAAAGTTTTCTCCTTTAGTGTGAAAACCATGTTTCTTTTCCTTAGAACAATGGTGTCATAAAATAGTTACCATTATGACACTGACTTAGTTGACCGAGCATAATGTTCTCTAATTTTGTCCATGTCTAAGGTGTTTGGACAGACTCATCATTGTTTTTTAAGGATGCATAATATACCATTGCATGAATGCACCAGAGTTTGTTGATCCTTTCCTCTGTAGTTGGGTGTTTTGGTTTTCTTTCCATCTTTTTGCTAGTACAGAGATTGCTGCGATAAATATAGGTGTGCCAATGTCTGTTCATGCTTGGTTCTTTATTTCTCTGAGGTGATTTAAGATGTGCCTTAAAATGGGCTACTAACACACAGTGCTCACAGAACTAAGCAGGTGGCATTTATTTACAGAAAGGAACCATTGGTGCATAGTAACCTTATCTGCTCTTCCTCCAGGAGCAATGCAGTAGGTGCTTACAAAAGAACACAAAGATGACAGCCCTAACTAGAGGAAGGGTGTTAGACTAGGCCAGTGATCCGTAAATATTTTAGGTCAGTAAACACATTCATGGAGCCAGAGAGGCAGAGATCATTTCTCTTGTCAACCACACACATCAACAACAAAAGCCCCCGACCCACCCGTCAGAGAAAGCCTTCTGATACACCATTAAAAAATAATTCCAACTCACTGCCTTCGAGTCCATTACGACTCTCAGGGACCCAAGAGGACAGGGTGGAATGGCCCCTGTGAGTTTCCAAGACTGTAACTCTTTACGGGAGTAGAAAGCCTCATCTTTCTCCGGAGGAGCAGCTGGTGGTTTCAAACTTCAGACCTTGTGGATCAGGCCCACTTGTAATCGCTAGGCCACCAGGACTTATAGTAAGCTATGCCCAGAGCCTTTCAAATACCTCCTTATGTTTTGGAACAGCCTGAACCTCACTTGTAAGACCTTCTTAGAACCCTTTCTTGAGAACTCTTAGATTTCCCAAGGTTGACTTTCCATCAAGATAACAAAATTGCCTGAAAGCGGTTAAAAGCTGGATAATATTAGCACTTAAGGAGTTTCAGTGGCATTGTCAGGTAAGCATTGGGCTGCTAGCTACAAGATGAGAAGTTCAAAACTGCCAGCTGTTCAGTGGGAAAGCGAGAAGGCTGTCTGCTCCTATTAAGATTTACAGCCTCAGAAACCCTATATAGGGTCTTTAAGAGTCTGAATCACCTCAATGGCAGTGGGTGGGTATAAGCAGTTTCATCAGTCTTTGACTGTGATTGTAACATATGGTTTTTCTTAGTGACCCTGTGGACTGCTTGTTGCAATGTGGACCAATGGACATAACACTAGTGTCTTCTTTTGGAAGCCTAACTCTAATGTTCATATACTTTTTGTTATGTATTTTAAGTTGTTGTGTGCTTTAAAAGAAGCTCACAACCATCTCTCTTCCCAATTTTCTACAAATGTGTATAAACCTTTCATAATATTTCCTTGGGGGCATATCCTGCAGTGATTTTTTAAACATCTCTTACTAGAAAAGGGGAAAACCCCTCAAACTAGAATTCAACCTTCATTACATGTCTCATTTTCATATTCACAAGTATTCTAAATTTTTTGCCTTCTATGTGTGACAAATTCTCAAATATAATCTTTCTAGTGCGTGCAAAGGCACCCTGGTGGCATAGTGGGTTAACACAGTGGGCTGGCTGGGCAAGGTCGAAACCACCAGCTGCTCTGTGGGAGAAAGATGAGGCTCTCTGCTCCTGTAAAGATTTACAGTCTCAGAAACCCCAAAGGGCAGCGCTCTTCTGTCCTTTATTGTTGCTGTAAATCAGAATTGGCTCAAGGGCAGTGAGGGAGTGGGCGCAATGGTTAAGTGCTTGTTACTAACTGAAAAGTGGGCAATACAACCCCATCCACCTGTGAGTCCATAGGAGAGACACTAGTAATCTGCTCCAATAAACATCATAGCCTAAGAGACTCTCTAAGTCTAAGAGACTCTCTGGGGGAACTTCTATCCAATTCCATAAGATTAGGGTGGGTCGGAGTCAACTCAACAGCACACAACCACCGCCGCAATGCTGAATAAAGAGATCCCATTAGGTTCACGATCTGAAAATGACTCGCCCAAACCAACCTATAAAAACAAACTCATTGACCATTTAGTCCAACTCAGAGTGACCACAAGTGACCTCATACAGGACAGAGGAGAACTGTTCCTTAGGGTTTCCTAGACTGTAAATCTTTATGGGAGCAGGTAGCCTCATCCCCTGCCCCCCCACCAACAGTGCCTGGTGGGTTTTAACTGCCGACTTTGTGGTAGGAGCCCAGTGCTTAGGTCACTATGCCACCAGCCAGAGATTATTTAAATAATTGTGGGCCTAACAGATCATCAAAGTTAGATCCATCTCTTGAAAACTAATCTACATGAACACCACAAACTATATTGAAAAGTTACTACGAATCTCTTCCACCTCCAGGCGCCTGGATCTGGACCCATGTCCCAAACCCCATAGATGGAGACATTCTCAAGAGTTAAGTGCTCGACTATGAACAGATCAGTCTCGGGCCAGCTGCTCCACGGGAGAGAGATGTGACAGTGTACTCCTTTCAAGCCTTAGAAACCCTATGGGGTATGGTTCTATGCCATCCTATCATGCCCCGGTGGCTTCTGTTTGGGGTTTTCCCACTATCGTCTTATATGGAAAGATGACACAGGCAATATCTTAACAAAATTAAAGGGAAAAATGTAAAGCTTAACTTAAAAACTTATGTTTGTTATGAAGGAAGAGCCCTAACAGGTTCAGTGCAGCACTGGTCACAATAGCAAGAAGGTGGAAACAACCTAAATGTCCATCGGTAGAAGCATGGATAAAGGACATTTGGGCACGTACACATAATACCATACTGTTGTGCTTATTAGGACCGGCGAGTTGGTTCCCGCTTGAAGGCACCCTGTGTACACCAGAACAAACCCCCCGCCGTGGGCCTTCGTCTTCTTCACCATCGTTCTGATGTTGGAGCCCCTTGTGGCAGCTACTGTGCCTGTCTTTGGGGGTCTCTTCCTCTTTGTCACTACCCCTCTCTTTTACCAAACGCGATGTCCTTCTCCAGGGACTGGTCTCTCCTGACCACAGATGCAAAATGTGAGATGCAGTCTTGCTTCGAGGGAGCATTCCCATTGTATTTCTTCCAAGACAAATTCGTTTGTTCTTTTGGCAGTCCCCGGCAAGTTCGGTATTCTTCACCAGCACCATGGCATGTTAGGCATCGCTAACAAATGAGGGAACCCTGAAACACCTCATGGCATGGATTGACCTGGAAGACATTATGCTGAGTGAAATTAACCAATCACAAAAGGACAACTATGGGAGACTGATTTTTGTAAAGGAAAGCAAAACAAACAAACAAACAAATAAACAAAAACAAGACAAAGACTTTCATACCAAGGAAACAGACTTTGGAGATTACCAAGAAGGGGAGGGTAAGGGAGGGAAGAGGAAGCTATAGGCTAGGAGGATAGTAGACCAGGGCGAATGGGGTGGTGGGAAGTAATCCACAAGAGGGGGAAGCAAAATCAAAAATGGGGGGTAGGGTAAGCGATTGAAGGGTGAATACAAAACTGGTGATCTGAAATAAAAACCTCTACCTAATTCACAATCAGAAAATTATTGAAAAAAATAAAGGAGCACCCCTAAAACTTATGGTATATCACAAGATCACAACTGATTTTTATTTTTATCTACTCGGTTACTCTTTGTCTTTGTACATATTTGTTTTTATCGGTGTCATCAAAGCATCCTGTGATTGTGCTCCTGGGCTCTGTTTATTTCCACTTCTCGTAGACTTTTGACGAAAGAAATCTTCTTTCGCGCCCGCTTTCGCCCGGGAGCACGAAGGGGGCAGGGGACGTGAGCGGCAGCCCACCCGAAGGAAAAGCAGAGATTGTGGCGGAGGACCGACGCCATGCAAGAGGGTGAGGGCGGGGCGGACCCGCGCCCTGAGGCCCCGCCCCCACCCAGACTCCGCCCCAGGCCCCGCCCCGGCCCGTCGCCATGTTGTTCCCTGCTCGCTGGATGGGAGCAGCTGCAGCGGGAGCCCAGCACTCCGGCTGTCGCCGTCGCGTCGTACCCACCCTGCCCGTGACCTCTCCTCTCCTAGTGCGCCCGGACCGGCCTGTTCGGCACTCCTGCCGCGTCCTCCGCGTGGCTGCGAGGTGAGCCGGGCGGGGGACTCCCCTGGGACCGGGGGCGCCGGCGTCGGGGTCTAAGGGGCGGCGCGCAGGCCCAGGACAGTCGGGCGCCGGGAGCGGGCGCAGTGGGGCAGACGCCCCGGCATGTAGGCCCCCCACCTCCTAGGGACTCCCGCCGGAGAGTCGGGTTCTCGCACCCCCGGAGCTGGACGCGCGCGCACAGACGCCTGCACCTCCCCATGACACACACACACACACACACACACGCAAACATTGGGAGAAAGACGCGCGCACCCACATCCCGGTGACAACTCCCCTCCCCCAACGCTTGGGAAAAGGGGCGCGCGCACCCTGGCGCCACTGGAAACCCCCCGCCCAGCCCGGCGCCTTGGCCTTGGCCCTGGTGCCCTCTGATACCCCGCCTGGCCGAGCGTTCGCCGCGGTCTTGTGACCGACCACTCAGGTGAGGCGGGGAGAAGCCAGCCCCGGGGCCCCGCAGGGAGGCGCGGGCGGCCCTTATCTGATTCAGGCGCCCTCTCCACTTTCCAAATGGAGGGCATTTCCATCCCAAGGCCCGCCAGAGACTGGCTTGGGGCATGTGTGTGTGGGGTTGGGGGGGAGGGTGTTTAAAAGCCACAACTGGTCCCGTGACCAGGGTTCTCTGGAGGAATAACTTTTTTGCTCGGTTCCCAGTGGGCACGTGACCCCAGCCTTTTTAGAGCATTGTGGCGTCCTGATACCAATGAATGGACGGAATTTGATTTGTCTTTGTTTTCTGTGTGAGCCCAGTGGGTCTTTCTGTCGCTGCCTCCATTGTAGTGGAAAATACCAAAATTGCCTGAACCCTCCACTGCGCTCCAGCGGAGGGAATGGGAGACCAGGAGAAAATTGAGACCCTTCTGGGCAGGGCCTTGGAAGAAGCTCTCTCTTTTAGACGCTGCCCCCGAACTTAGGAATACTTGCCTAGAACTCTTGGGCACCATATTTAGATCCCCAAATCGAAGGCAGTGGAGTGGCGGGGGAGGTGCTTTCAGCTGTGGTGTGTAGACAGGCATTGGAGGGAATTCTTGCACATGCTAAAAAGTCCCTGGTTTGGCTTATTTGAGGTAAGTTGTGTGATCTGGAGCTATTTTTGGTTTAGTATCTAGGCCGGGAGAGCAGACGGGCAAACCGGGAATAGAACACTGGCCTTACCTCCAAGCTCCATTCTTGGGGAGAAAGAAAGTACTTCTAATGGTGCTAGTCTCTGCTCTATCCTCCCTCTCTTCTTTCCTACTTTTCTCTTTCTTTGGCCCTCTTTCTGTCCAGACTCCAGACCCACTGCCATCGAGTGGATTATGACTTTACAGAAGCAGAGAGCCTCAGCTTTCTCCCTTGGAAAAGCTGGTTGGGTCGAACCTTCTGCCTTGTGTTTAGCAGCCAATTGCTAAATCCAGGGTGCCACTAGGGCTTCTTAAGTCTTAAGTAAAATATTAAAAAACGAAAACAACTGTCGTGGGGTTGATTCTGACTCATACAACCTTACAGGATGCAGTAGGACTGCCCTATAGGGTTCTCTGGGTTGTAACTCTTTCCAGAAGCAGATCTCCAGGGCTCTGTTGAGGAGTCACTGGGTAGGTTCGAATCACTGACTCCTTGGTGATCAGCTAAATTCTCAGCCACTGCCAAGCCCCCTGCCAGGGCTGCTCCCAGGCCTGAGCACTGGCACTTATCAGCACCCAGGCCGTGGGTGTTCTGAGCCGTGAGCCGTGAGCCGTGAGCCCTGGCCCTCCATCATGTATGGGTGTTTATTGAACACACCCCTCCCCCACCTTTACAGCTGAGGACCTTGCTGGGGCGCAGCAAGGTCAGGTCCCTTTCTCAGGGTCACACACAGGGTGTGAGGGACAGAGCCAGGACTGAAAGCCAGCCTGTGTGATTTGAAAGCACAGCTTCTCAACTGGGAGCAATTTCAACGTGCCCCCTGAAGCCATTTAACAGTGTCTGGAGACGTGCTGGGTTATCACACCTGGGGGGCAGCGCATGCTTGGCATCTAGTAGGTGGAGGCTCGATGAGACTCAGGACAGTGCTCATAGTAAAGAATTTCTGGCCCTATTTGCCCCTCAAGTGCAGTGCCGTGGCCTTCACAGCATTTCAAGGAAAAGCAGAGGCAAATGTGAGCACTGAAAAGAGCCTTCTCTTGATTGAGAGGTATATTCACCCAATTAAAAGATGGTGGCGTGAGTAACTGGGTTCGGAGAACAGAGTCCCGGTTTTGTTATAAGGCAAAACTGCCTGAAAGAACTGGAGAGCCTGGTGGAGGCCTCGAGAGTTTAACTCTTCCCACGGCCAGCAAACAATTTTGGGGTAGCCTGCCAGGCCTCTAAAGGTGCTGGTGAGCTGAAGAGCTGTCACAAGCAAGCCCTGCCTTCCTGCCACTTACAGCCTACTCACAGCCCCAGGAGTCCTGTGCTGAGTGGGGGTGGGAGTGAGGATGGGGAGTAGGGGGAGCCCCACACAGGCGCCCATTCAGAAACAAACCAGGTAAATGGAAGAATGCCCCATGCGGGCCACGTCTGTGTTTTTAGAGAGCTGCTGCCATCTTTAGTTATGGCTTGGTCCAGTTACCCGGGTGCAAACACGTCTAAGAATGGAATTGAGAACTTTTGCTGTTGAGCATTCTGCCTCAAAAAGTAGCCACAGTAAATAGGGCATGCGGTTTATCGTCAGAACTGAGCACTAGGTGATGAGATCCACAGAACACTTACTTCTGCATCATTTTTTCCTTCCTGGTGTTCCCCAGTCCATCTGACTACAGTCTGCTTTTATTCTGGGGGCAACTGTGAATGTCACCATTAGGTGCATTTAGGGGCGCAGTCAATTGAGAGGGGGCAGTCTCGAGTTCCTGTAGTGGCGTAGTGTGTTCCGCTTCGGGTGCTGCTACCCGAAGGATTAGCAGCTCCAATCTACCAGTGGCTCCTGGGAAGAAAGATGAAGCTGGCTGCTCCTGGAAAGACTTGCAGCCTGGGAAACCCAAAGGGACAGTTCTACTCTGCCTTATAACACCTCTACGACTCGATGGTATTGAGTTTGGCCTTTGGCTTGGAGAAGGTGCTGTTCACGCAGCCGTGGCTAGGCCGAGTCTTCTTTTCGGGATCCCTGGGTATGGGGAGCCCTGGTTTTCCGCTTATGCTAGTGGACAGTCCCGCGAGACTGAAAGCGTTTCTGCCTAGTCTCAGGAGTTGCTGCTGTGGGGATGGGAGGATGCTACAGTGAACGCCTAAAACGATTGCTGTCGCCTGGGATCTAGCAAAGCCAGGCACGTTCTTTCCTCACCAGAGTTGTATTCTGGAAGGTTGAAAGGAAGAAGGTGGGGGGTGGGGGTGGCGCAGAACTCACTGACTTGGGCCGTCTTCCTTTTTCATTAGTTGGCTCGCTGCGCTGGCCAAGTGAAGTCACCAAATCTCTTTTCTTCGTAAAATGAGATGGTCAGCCTTTATAGTCTGTGAGAGACAGACCCCACGGAGGAGGGGCAGCACATTCTTAGCTTCTGAGTGGTTCTGCCCCAGGCATTTTGTTGGCCAAGCGGCTAGAGGAAATACACCAAGTAGAAATGTACGGAAGTGTTTGGGCAACTCATAGGACTTGAAAGCTAGCTCCCACAGTAAAGGAGCTCCACAAAACCGAGGGCTGGTGAGTAAGTAGGCCATCAACAGGGAACAGTTACTAAGGATTGGGGTTTGTTTTGTTTTTTATAGTACTCACAAAATCCCTCAAGGAGTTCGATCCAAAACTGTGACACAATTGCATTGAGATACCTGAGGAGGGAGGCCTTGAGTGATGCAGAATGAGCTAAATGGGGGAGAGGGAAGCCCAGCTGCCGGGCACTGGGGAGACTGGAGGTTCCAGTTGCCGAGTCGCCGGGCTAGTTGGGTAACTTGGAGGAGAACTCACGTATTTCCCAACGTGGATCTTGATACCATCCGTGTTGTGAAGCTGTCCTCTGGGTATTTCCACATTCTGGATATTTCCATGACTTTGTGTTAATTTTTGACCATGGCGAGCGGCGCCAGGGTTTGGAATGAGGGTTTGGATCTTGAACTCAGAGAGACATATCAAAAAAGGGCAACTGCGTGAGCAGCTGGCAGAGGGAGATGAGTAAGTGCTTTGGAGGGGAAAAAAGACAGAGTGAAGTGAGTTTGGGTGGAGGCTTCGCATTGCCAGCCTTTGTTCATTGAACCCAGCCCAGTTCTCTGAGGGAAGTCTGCGCGCAGGCCGCCTCCCTGGCCCCCGCCTGGAGCTATTGTTTGCCAGGGATTGTGAGGCTGGATGGCCCGACCTGTGACAGCCATTCCAGTGCCCCCAGTGTGATGCATAGCTGAATGGAAGGAAGGAGCTGAGCGAACTGATTTTTATTTTGTGTACAGAAGCACAAGTAGTTCGTTACCAGACTATGAACATTCCAGAACGTGCTATGAAGAGCTTGAAGCAGTAGGAATGTTGCAAGGAGCCAAACAGGTTCAGGAGGGTTCTAGTCGGCGTGGCTCCACACGGTGGTTCATTTCCTCATTGCACGGAGTGGGTGCGCCTTCCAGAAATTACATACCACTGTGAGTTGGACGGCAGGATGGAATACCAACTGTTTGGGGATTGATAACAAAAGGAAACCAAGTCTGTTCCAGCTCATAGCAATCTGTAGGACAAAGTGGAATTGCCCCATAGGGTTTCCAAGGCAGGAATCCTGGTGGAAACAGACGGCCTGCCACTTCTTTCGGCTGCTAAGCAGCCAGTGGTTTCCAACTGCTGACCACCTGGTTTGCAGCCTGGCCCGATGTTCTAACCACTGTACCACCAGGGCTCCTTCTTTGAGAGTCACACATTGGCGAATGCAGAAGTTCTCTGGAATGAGTTTGAGGATTCTTAAATGAACCTTCTAAAGTCGCTGTTCTGGGACAAACTTGCCACCGTGCCTATCCAGTTTGCCTTGACTTCTGGGTAGTTCTTGATTACTCTCAGAGCAACCAGGGTAAAGTCTTGCTTCGCC